GAATACCAAGTCAAAGTCAAGTCAAGTCTTTTATCAATGTTAGTCAAGCAAGTCTCAAGTCAAAAAATATGCGACTCGAGTCTGACTAGAGTCAAGTCATGTGACTCGAGTCCCCATCTCTGCTGTTTAGTGATTGAATATTATTGTATTCTCTTTTTTCGGAGTTGCACTTTGCAGACGGTCCCTGAGCACTCGTTTCTACTCCGGCTGCGGATAGAGACCAATGTAATGTGTCCAGCTCGGAAGACGGCGCGTATTGGCTTTTTTTGATCAAAATGTGATTGTAGTTCGTTGTCAACCTTACCACGGTACTTAGGAGACGTCATTTGTGTCTGAATAACGTTTTGTTCATGAGTTATTGATCCGTGAAATCAGAATCTCCCAATATCGTTCCAACTTTACTGAACTAAGCCAGAAGACCGTCTCATTTCGTAGACCGCTCGGTTTGCTGTTCCTTCACTTTATTTTTATATACATTTATTTTGGACGAAAACTTAGCGTGAGGAAAGGCATGTGTGGCGTGAGTGCGTGAGATATGGGTTAATTGCGTGACTCTCACGCTCAATGCGTGAGTGTTGGCAGCATGGTCAACATGAGCGGAAACACCTGCGTGGGTGGATGTGTGTGTGAAGCTAAGCGTACAGGCTCTAAGTGTCTATCTAAACACAAATAGAAGCAGACCCTATAAATGGACATTTAAAGTAACACATTATCACTTCACACCCTAGTTCATCATGTTCTAATATAACAAGGTGTTGGAATGAGCACTACCACTTCTAGCCGGGGTAGCCATTGTTAGCAGTTACAAATGTAACAACGAATTACATGGTATTTTGCGCTCACAAACATATTGAGAAACATTTAGATAAAAGAGAGAGCTCTACGTACGACTGAAACACAAATAGTTACGCGCTAATAATTTGTATTTAAATCCAGATGTCACTTCTGTTAATGTTTGGAGTAGCCATCTTGGATTTTAAACTAGGGTTTGGTAAGATTCACCTGACTCTGAATGGGAACTCCAACCTCCGTATGTGTTACTGTTGAAATCTCTGCTTTGGAACTTGGAAAATCCGACTTTGATTTTGAATAGAACGCAACTAACTTTCTGAGCCGACAGCATAAACTTCGAATTTTTTATTTTATTTTTGTACTCACGGATGTTAACATGTTCTGACATGTAACAAGATCTTGGCCGTAACTTTGCTACTACGTGCATGCGAACACATTCAAGATTTCTGACTGCAGGTGGAGCTGTCAACAGCTTGCAGGGCAGAGGCAGCGTCAGGTGGAAACACTGGCCAGGCCTGAGGGGTCGGGTAGGAGGGGGGCACCCGAAGGAGCAGGGCCTCTGAGAGAACCACGGCATGTTGCTGCTCATGGAATGATAAGGATGTTGGAGAAGGACGGGGGTTTGGGGGAATGGAAGGGGTCACGGGAGGGTTAGAATATCTTGTAGTGGAGCTGATCTGAGCCAGACAGAGATACAGTATCCTGTCAACTCCAGACACACTCCACCACGCCAGACACAACTTTCAAAAACAGAGTCACATTCCACTATGTTGCCATCATTCATGTAGGCTGTTTATACATAAGGGCAACTGTGACAAACATTTGTTAGGAACAACTTTATTTTGGCTTACATTGGAGATTTTGTAGTTTACATCTTAGAAACTTGCATTGGAAGGCACTGCCCCTTTTCATATCAGCTGCTTGTGTTACTAAAAAAGGCTAACACATGTAATCTGATAAAGCTCATTTCCTGTTTAGAGTTAACATTCCTGTATTCCCGATAAGGCAACAGATCGAAAAGAGACTTCAATGAACCAAGGTGATTTGCACACCCTTAAAATCAGCCATCATAACGTAGCGAATTGCTACCAATGGTCTGTTTTTTTGGTTTGGATGCATCCTTTATTGGCGGATTGTCCAATGACATAAGGCCTTACCTATACTAGCTTTGTTAGAATTGCATATGAATTGTATAAAAAAAAAAAAGACTGCATAAAATCCAGATTTATAAAGAAGAGAAATGTGTTCAATACAGACTATAAACACACAACATCAAAAATAAATAAATAATTGAAAACAAGAAGAGAAAATTATTAATATAATAAATATAACAAATATCTTACATAAATCATAATCATCATAATTATTTTCATACAGTGTGGCCAATATAACATTATCATTATTAGTTTTCAAACCGTTAAATACTGATCTACTAAATATTGTCCTCGGTTGGGTAATATTGCATTTCAGGGTAATATCAGTACTAAGCTGTGATTCATTCTGGAAGTGCGTCCAACTCCAATTTTGGCCCAATAACATTATGTAAAGCTGCAACAAAGTTTAATGAAAGCCTCCATCATTTTAGAAAGGCAAAACATTCAGATATGTTCAATGGGGACAGAACTGTATTTTTGGTTTGCGGGCAGAATCGGAATGTGCTTCCTCCAACTGTAATGAAAAGCAGACCCCAACAGAGCAGAAGGCTTGTGATCATGAATGACACAATTAGTCTTGGATAAGGAGAGTGGTGGAATAGTAGCAAAGATGAAAGATGCTTTAGGAGGTCAACAGTTGCGATAACCCAGGCCCTAATCTGTCAAAGCTAAAACAGACATGGTTCAACGATAGTAATAAAAGAAGGATGAAGGACACAAACAAGTGAAAAGCCTAACTGGAATTATAAATATGTCCCGTGTTATTGTTCGTCAGTGATCTGCAGAGGAGATGGTGGTGAACATGACTAACTGGTGAAAATTGAATTTGCCTGGATTATCCTCCTTGTGCAGGGTCAGAAGACTGATGGTAAACAGAAGTAAATAGACAGAATACAGGCGTGCACAGGAAGGAAACGTTAGTGGTGACATCCTATTTGTGTTCACCCTCATCAAGCGGCCATCTTTTTCTGGAAGCACTTAATTTGGATCCTCTGTTTGCTGTCATTATATCCTTCCTGTTTATCAGCCTCATGCTTTAGCTCCAAGCCCAAAGAATGATTAGGGAAACTGTCGGATGGTAATCGGATTAGCCCGGCATTTGACGGATCATAAGATCTGTTGGAGCGTCTCCACCACGGACTGCCCTATGCTGATATTATAGTTGTGTTATCATACAGTGTGTAGAGTTTTGGTGGTTTAGTTGTTAGGTTAACAATAACAGGTTATGTATCCTATAAAACTGTCTTTACCTTGTCTTCTGAATATGACAGTACTACTAAGTTCTGCAGCCATTAATTAGGTGGGAAAGCTTGACCAGTGCCAATTCTAAACATGGTACAGCAAATGGTAGACATCATCAAAAACAACCTCACTTACAGCTGAATCTGTTGATTTTTGGGCCCTCGACATAACACACACAAGCTGCTGTTATGTCATTTTGACATTTATGGCTGACGTGTTGGCATATATACTGTACTGTATGCACCTATTTTTAAATCCTGATAAATGTTCCGCATGTTCACTAGCTAACTGCTAAATGTATCTGTTGTCGTTTAGTGTTGGGGATGTAGTGCAAATAGGCTTATCAGAGTTTTCTCACCAAAATATTTGCATGTTGCTACATATACTGTAAGGTGTGGCGGGGTGAGAATTTTGGGCTGTAAAACCAAAACAATAAGTTCAAGGAAGAAAAAAAGTCTGGCACAGATATGTGGGTTCATACGGAGCCCTAAAGGGACATGGAAAAAGTCACAATAACGGGTGAGTATCTCGTGCACACGAGAAAAACCATTTCATTGCAGACTGTTATGTTTACGTGGGGAAGTGACAGTGCACACGTTATCTGAGATATATTTCAAACTCAGACTTAATTTTATGGAAATTTCGGCCAGGGGTGTAGAGCTATTTGTTCAAGCACCGGATTGGCAAAACAGGAGAGTCTGTAAACCAGTCTGCCTTGATCTTTGAATTAATGTCCTTGACTCTCAGAGTACCTGATGCCTGCAGCTGGTTTAAAGGGAAACAAACACTCAGAACACACACACACACAGAGCGGAGCTGAGCAGAGCACAAACAGACTCACATCATGCAACCTGGTGACCGGTCATCTCCTTCATTAAACTAATAAAAGGGGGAGTAATCGGGCAGTTTGATGTGTGTGTGTGTGTGTGTGTGTGTGTGTGTGTGTGTGTGTGTGTGTGTGTGTGCGTGCGTGCGTGCGTGCGTGCGTGCGTGTGTGTGTGTAGAGGTGTGTGTGGTTAAAACGTTACTTAGCAGCCTGCGGTCACTCTTTAGCTGTTCGGATGAAGGTAGTGCATAAAAGCTCTTTGCGCGTTGGTGCTGCTCTTCTCAGAGTCTGAGTTAAACGTCCCGCCGCCTCCTGGAGTGACCGCTGGCTGCTACGTTTTTAAACACACCCCTCTGGCCGAAATGTCCTTAAAATTAAGTCTGAGTTCGAAATATATCTCAAATAATGTATGCACTGTCATTTCCCCACGTAAACATAACAGTCTGCAATTAAATGGTTGTCTCCTGTGACTCTTTTTTTGTCTCTCTCTCTTTATTTATTTTTGTCCATGTCCCTTTAGGGGCTCCGTAGGTTCACTACTACAAGTGTACCATTTCGCATTAATTTGGTCAAATGAAAAAAAAAAATATTCTGCATACAGTAAGACAACATTGACGGAATGTAAATCTTACATTTTAATGAAATGTATTAGGTCAACAGGTTCCACATTATTATATAAGGTTAGTTGAAAGCAATAGTATTAGGTTGAACCTAATATTTATTATTCAAACGTAATATTATTTCTTTCAACTTACCTAATGCAATTATGTGTAATTTGTTTAAATAATACATGTATTAAAGTAAAAGTTTTAATTAGTTTTCAGTGCAATGGGTACACTTTCAGGTTACAGAGCCATAAAGCCTACCCTTAATGCAATGAATGCAGGATTAATGTGTAAAGTCCATTGCGTTTTACAATGTTCATGCAATAAAAAGAACTGCACGTAAGCAGCAGTGTGACTGACCAGTTCTATTTCTATTTTTAGGTGTCTTCATCTTGTGTTCCAGCAACAAACTATGAGCTTGTAAGTAACACATTTTTCGTTTTGTTTTAGTAATTGCTTCCATGCTGTACGTGCTCTGCAGGCATGATTGGATCCTTCCTGTTGCAGAATTATTACAAACAGTGTGGCAAAGTAACAGCCTCTATCAGCAACAGTAACAAGGTAGTTACCATTGAGCATAATGGAACATTATCTGAACGACCCTTGAGACAAACATGGGGTTTGGGGATATAATAAATGAACCAGACTCAACCATTGTTTGTCAGTTGTTGGTGTTTGCTGCTGTTGCATGAAAACATAGAAATCCTCTGGATAAAAAGCTTCATGTCCTTGAATCTGCTTTATCATGATGACGTCTCTTACTGCTTGAGTCTGAGTCTGAGTATGAAAGTGATTTTGCGAGGGCAATAAAAAAATCATGCTTGCTCTGTTGCCTTATTTGGTATTGGCATTAGAAGCCGTGTGAGACTTGCAGATTATTTGCTCACTCTCTTTCTCATATGTTGTGTGTTTAAATGGTTCTGGATGCCTGACAAACCAAAGCAAATATCCCCTGCACTTCTCTGCGCTCACAGAGAAAATATGTCTCCAAATGTCCTTTTTTTCTTTCCTTAAAGCTGCAGTGATGAAGCAGGAACATGTGATTATCCTCTGCAGATGCGTTCACACTAGATGCTTTCTACATGAAGGCATCTGTTTAAGATGTGCAGCCGAGTGGGCTAAGCTCTCTGGACGTTGTTAAAGGGACCTGAGCTCTTTGATCCCTGAAACGAACACATTCAGACAAAGTGCAAGAACATACCCATGTTGGGCCTCCATATGACATACACATTACATGCCACTGACTTAACCTGGAATCTGTTATTGCTGCTAACTCTTTGCTGGCAGCTCTAACTGTTTGTGCTAATGTCCCTTGACTTCAGGTACAGCATCCTTAAAACAGTTAGTATTACTGCAGTAATCACAAAACTCCAAACAACCTTGAATTCTCAAAAATAAGTTTCCCATGCCTAAACTGTGTCGTGTTTTAAATTGGAATCGTATTTTCTCCCAGAATACAGTACAGTTTTATTTATTTCATTCTAAAGAGGAGCAACTATCACAAAACTGAGAAAAAATAATAAAAAGTATTCTGATTAATTATGTCAGTAAAAGATCATGGTCTGGGTTCAAATAAGTACCTTAGTTAAATAAGTGTGTTTAGTATCAGTTACGTATCAGCCGCACAGTGAGCTGCATACTGTAAGCCAAGTGTTTTTACCCTACATGAAACTCGTCCCTGGACTTTAATTGGACACTCATTTGTGTTGTATCCATAATAACCAACATCACTGTGAACATATTTTCCCCACAAAATATAATTGACAATGCAGCTTTTTAAAATTATGACCACATCTGTTTGATTAGTAGCTTGGCTCAGTCAGCTCAGTCTTCAGTGAGTCAACGCAATCACAGAATAGAATCTGTTCTTCCCCATCAATTATCTGTTTTAACAGCTTTAAAAGGCTGCAGGAAATAGAAGCCGCAGGGCATCTGCCTCCATTTTATGCCTTTAATCTTGGCTTGCCAACATCAGTCTCCCCAGAGGCTTCAGTGGATGCGTTAAAGGTGATGATTGCTCTCTTAAATGCTGATGGGCTGAGGTTTAAAACATTTGTTGGTGTACCTTTACCACCGCAGAGAGAGTAGACGAAAGACAACTGGCTTTTCAAGGCTTTCAGTGGGCCATGCAGTCTGATTAAAAACATTGGAAAATATGAAATTACATATTATTGACGCTTGTGAAGCAGAGTGGGATGTCGACCTGTTGTGCTGTTTTCAATCTCAATAACAGTGACAATGACTAAGTTATGTCTGCGTGGCGTACAGTATGTGTTAGCCCTGTGGTCGTGGTTCTGTTTGACAGGGAGATGCTGCAGGTTTATGCGTGGTTGTGTGAGCGTGGTTGTGTGAGCGTGCACGCCTGAGAGCGCTCCCTGCAGCAGCTCTCCAGCCGGAGGGGTGTCAGCCCTCCGCAGCACCTTGTTTGGTAAATTCCTTCGCTTGCGGCCTGAGAGCAACATGATTTACCGCCTCACTCAGGTGCAGACTGATCGCAACATCAACTGTTAACTAAAAAAGAGAGCTTTTTATTTGGAGAATCCAGACATTCCACCCAGATGGGACCAGCTAGAAGAGATACATAGGTTTATTAGTTCATCATATTGTTCCATATTGGATGATATTGAAATGTTTTCATGCAGCTTTTTTTTAGCATAAGTATAAAAGGGCTGCCTCTGGATTTGACTGCTTTTAATTGGACTTTTTAAGTTCAATTAAAGAATCAATACATGAAATATACTCTAACCTCATGCGCTTTATCTACTCTCTGCAGTCCCTGGTTGGATGCAAACTGCATTTTGTTGTAGTAATGACAATAAAGTTGAATCTAATTCAATTAAGGTTAGATTCTTTTGTAGGCTTCGGATTTTGGAGCAACATGTGTTGTAGTGTTACTATGAGAATAAATGGCTTATTTGTTTTAAAGGACAAGCAATCAAAAGACAGACAGGCAGTTCAATTTAGTACAGATCATAAGACTTTCTTAATCCCGGAATAAGAAATGTTCTGTCCTATCCTGTTTTTATATTGACATCAGAGTTCTCAACCCTTTAACAACTGATTTCAGATCAAGCGTACTGATTGAAAGATTATTCCAGTTGCAGACATACGCAACTTCAGTGCACGAACAAGTACAACATGCAAGTCAGAGTGTGTGTGTGGTCACTTCCCTGCTGTCCCCTGTTGCACTCTCACTGACTCTCAGACTAAACAACTAACTCAAACATCGTCATGGCTTTAGGAAAATCAAACAATGTTGATTAAAGTTACCCCAAGGACCATTTAGCAGGTGTTGTGGGATGTTAGATGATATCTCACACCCTTGTAGATGTTGATTATTGGGAATTTCCACCAATTGTAGGCATCAAAGTCTGTTTCAAGATGCGGGGCAATAGGCCTTACGTGGTATCCAGTGGTACAGGAAACTGATCAATTTTCAGTGGAGCCACACTTTTGGTAACTGACAGAAATTAGACTAAATTGAAGTGTGTAAGCCTTAAATGCAAAATGTGTGTCACTTTGAAATTAGCAGCCTTTAATCCTAAATCAAATACAGGCACCCAACTAATTAAGGAGTGAATTAAAGAAACAGAACACTTTGAGAAGGTGATGCCAACGCTCATTGTAATTGATGATATGTGGTTGGAAGATCCCATCCAACCTTTGGCATAAGTGATTACCCCCTACCAGACCCCTGCACTAGGACGTGCAGTGAAGCATGCTGGGAGCATTCTTCAAATGTGCCCTCTTGTTGAGCCAGCTCTATGAAGGTAGATATGGTGCAAAATGCGAGAGCTTGTAAAACCTGATGTGGGCACTTGTAGAAAAAATATCTGAGCTTGTGTGCATACATTTACACTTGTATAAAATATCCACGTAACTATGAACCAAATTTGAAGTCACAGAAGAAAAAAAAAAAGTTTTGTAGCTTGTAGAAAAAAAAATTAACTGAGTGATGAAATGTTCACTTGCAGAAAAAAGTATATTTTTAAAAATATATTTTCAATTACAGCTGCAACTTGGTTAATACAACCTCTCAAATCAGTCATTACAACTTGACAAATCTGCTCTGTGGCAGTATAAATCGACGAATCTGCGGCCTTGACTTTTGCTACAGTTATTGCGATGAATGTGTCGCTAAGGTAATTTTCACCTGTAGATGTGGGGGGAGGAACATGGGGAGGAAGGAGGGTTGGAGCGAAGGGGCGGGGCTATCAGAACGAGGAGGCGCAAGCTCGGGTCAGTCACACAGCCATGTCAGGTCGAACCGGATGACTGCGGGGCCCCACATGTTGCCCCTTTCACACCAACGCGGTTCCATGAAAACGGCTTATGCTACAATTGGTTAAAGCAACAAGCAACAAGTAACCAGTCAATATAGTCAGTTTAGCTTCGGTTGCTATGCTAACATCACCCATTTTATACAAGAGAAACGTTCATAACAGCGTTGTGATGCCAAACAGCGTCAATTCAGACTGAAACACATTCACTTATGGGAATTGGGGATATTTATCAGCTGCTTGTGTGACAGTCAGATAGTGAAGACTTTACGGCGGCCGCTGCTGTGAGTTCATAAACTCCAGCGGACGAGCAGCACTGCAGCGGTCGTTAAATGCCGCTGTAACGGCCCGTCCACACAGCAGCGTTAAAAAAATATTCCAACGCTTCTGCCCATTCACTTTGAATGGGGTGACGTCACTTTGCCTCACTTTTTGCCTAACTGCATTGTGGGGAAGCAAAGCGGAGATTTCCAGGCATCTCAGGATTCAAAAGTTGAGCAATGTTCAACTTTTGAAGCTGAGGTGGAAGCATCAGCCAATCAAATCCCGTTTATGCAAATCTGACAGTACAAGCGCTAGCCAATCAAACCGCGTGTAAACTGGGAGTGACATACCGACATATTCATTTCTATATTCCTAACAAAATGGAGGAGAAATTAGTTATTGCGGTAGTAAATCACCCGGTTCTTTATGACAAGTCCCTATTAACTTACCGGGATACAAACCGGAGGAACCAGGCATGGAGGGAGGTGGCAGAGACAGTGGGTGAAACTGGTAGGTTTTCGCCTGTTTGGGGAGTTTATATCCAGTTTACTTCGTTTTAACATTGCTATTGCTTTGTATGTCAGGGGCGGGAGATTCATGTGATTGGTTGTTGGTTGTGTTGCTCGCAAAAAATCCCCAAGCTTCAGATACGCCCACCTCCAAGATTTTTTTTCGCTGCTGTGTGGACGTACCGTTAACGCATTACGAACAATGAACCACGGCACTCTGGAGAAAAGTATAAGGTTGGAGAAGTAGTTATTTAATTTAATCTGGCTTCGTATGATTAAAAGTGACACGATCATCGAGCCAACGCAGTCCCCCATTGTTGTTGTTGTGAGCGAAGCACGGAGCTAGAACGGGAGCTGCGTGTGAAAG